CACAACACATAACAGAACAATTCTAGGACGAAAGAGTTAAGCAAAACATATGGGAAGACAGTGACCTCATGTTTCCTTAAGTGTTCATGAAAAGTGACAGTGTTTGTAAGAATGCCCCCTGTAAACAAAGATGTTATGATTCAGGTTCAATGATTAAGATTTTATTTCAAATTGTTGTTTCTGGATTTAAGTTTCATTTAGGTCTACGGTTACAGGAATGACTTCTTTCATTTTTCAATAATTCACAATCAGTATTATATGTGACAACAACCTATATAGGCCGAGGAAGGCATTATACTTTTACGAGAGAGACAAACAATTTGTATGAAAAACGTCAGTTCGTATTTGTCTCAATGATAATTGTATTTGCTGACAAGGTCCTTGTATCGACCAAAGAACTTACGGAATGATGACTTTAAGACTGCTGATATGATTGTTTCATCAACTTGTTTGTCATTAGTTTACCTCGTTCCATTCTGAGATGATTTTATCCTTCATCTACAACCCCAACCGGAAATTGATGTATATGTCTTATTTTGTATCTAGTAGGTAATTTTTGAGGAATAAATGAGCGGCTTACAATAAATAGGATCGACCAGAAACTTCTGAAGTGTAAGGAATTTCGGAATGAACTTTGGTTGTATTGAACATTGTTCAAATATGAATACATTTAAATAAAAAGTAAGATTTTAGAGCTTATGATTTTATAGTATTTTATTACCCGGTATGAGGAGTTCCATACCTTATCTTTTCAAACACCCGATTTTTTTCGGATTTTAGCGATCTAAAGGTCTGTGCTAATACAGTGAAATTACGGACATTACGCAACTCGAGCAAGCAGAAATTCTTCAGGTTGTTACAGGAAATTCTACTGCGAGGTTCGTAAAACTCGATGATTCTTTCAACGCTAGAAAGTCCATGGTCACCCTGCGATTCGGTTTACAGAAGCACATCCTGGACACGCGGGAGGTAGATATTGTAAACAATGAACAAATCCGCCAATGAAATTTTTAAAGCTGTTTTAAAGCAAATTGAAAAAAAAGAGGCATGGGAGCCGTAAAACATTAAGACAGTGTAATACAAGATGACTTGAGAAAACTTTACCTCAGTGCCTGTTTGAATTTGACAATCCTCAATCTTTGCAGAATAGAGTCTCTTTGACTGAAGGCCATTGAGAAGTGAAGGATCTTTATCGTGCCAACGCCTGCCGTGACCTCGGTGTTAAGGTCTCATTCGAAGGACCTGCAACTTTCACTTCAAGTACCGAGTGCATGGCGAAGGAACAGTTGCTACCCCCTTTTTTTTTATTTAGGAAGTTGCGGCCGTTATTCGAACTCGCGACTTCCCGATCACGGAGCGAGCGCTGTACCGACTGAGCTACCATAAAAAGACAGACAAAAAAAATCAATGAGATGACAATAGAGATCATGAAGACAGGGAAGGTCGAATTTATGAGAATCCAGGTAAAACATTTACAAGGTAAAGGTAAACTATAAGACTCATCCTTTTGATACATCAGAAGTGTACTTGGTTGCTATATGATAAACATGATAAATATTACATATAGATTTACATGATAAAGATACACCAGCTGGTTTCACCAGCTACTTTATCTTAATGAGATGTACTTATATTTCAGGTGACAAACACTGGTCTGTTGCTGTATGTCAACTTTGAGTGAGATTCACCCCCAAAATCCTTGTTTTTGGCAACGCCTCATAAAGTAGAAAATATGTCTAATAACCTATGACATGATTACATGGTAGTGGGGAAGAATACCCTTGGTATAGTATGTCTAATAACCTATGGTATGATTACATGGTAGTGGGGAAGAATACCTTTGGTATAAGTATGGCGAAAGTAAGCGAGAAAGCAGGGTTTTTTTCTAAACGGTACACCAAACATTGCAGAAGAGCTATATATGCATTACCAATTTAAATGAAAATGGCATCAAGACAAGACACGTCATAGAAATAAGTTGGCAGATATCTGAAAGCTCCGTTCATTCATATGCTAAGTCTAGGGGAGCAGAAGCAGAGGGAGATTTCCAGATTTTTCTGGATGAGGCTTTCAACATTCCAGATATTCTGACGGACAGTATTCTCGAGCTCGAAAACATGGAAAACGTTGGAAATAATTACATGACAACAAACAATGCCCAACTTCCAAACTCGAAGGCTACAAATATTGTCCAATTACCACATAGTTTTACTATGCCCAACTTCCAAACTCGAAGGCTACAAATATTGTCCAATTACCACATAGTTTTACTATTCAATAAAAATTATGATACGCATTAAGTCGCAAAAATGATTTATTGTTAATTGAAATATTTTTGTGTGATATTTTTTTGGATATTTTTATTGTTAATTTTAAAACTTTATTAAATAGGAAGAGCTCTCTATGTTGTTTTGTCTTGCGGTGAAGTGTCTGATACAAGTAAAGTCTATTTCGGTAAAATAAATCACCCATTTACTGTCTGTTCGGCCAAAAGCAAGTTTATTGCCCCCCTTGACAGCAACTATTACCGATACGTCTCGGGAAATAGTTGTTGTGTAGGGAGACAATAGTACAATTCTCCGTTATCCTTGGACCTTCAGTAAAGCGTGGTATTCTTGACGTTACAAAATTAGCTTCTGAAATTTACACAGCTTTCATTCACTGTTGAAATATGCATGGGATAGAAATTCGGGCGAATGTCAACAATAATCCATTGACGGCGTTTCGTAAAAGAAGTGGGGCTTAAGTCGTCTCATCGTTGTCGACAACAATTTAAAGTTGCTAAAGTTATTAATTTCTTAACCAATGAGAATTTATTCGCCATTTGAGAGATGTTAATTACGTAGCATCAAGAATGTCACGCCTTACTGAAAGTCCAAGGATGACAGAGAATTGTACTACACTTAATGTTGTCCTCATAGCCAGTAAAAAATAGGTGTATAATATTCACCCGGAAGGTCACGTTGAAGTGAATATAACGCAGTATTTTTTCTTAATTGTTTATCTCAGCCAATCAAAGAGACATGAATTTTTCAATCATATAGTAAAAATGTATGAATGAAGATTATACAAAACAAATTGAATACAAGGCATAATACTAGAGGTACTATATATGAGCTCTGTGCAAACTAAATGATACCCCTGCTTCCCATTGATTATAATAGCCGAGTCCTTTTTTGCTATGGGAGACCCGATATACGTGTCGGATGAAAAAATAAAATAGGAGGTCACATTGGCAACATGTAAAAGAATCTGTGGAAATCTCACTAATAGCATTATGTAATAAAGAATTTGTGAAAGTACCATTAAATTTTATTCAGTGGTAAAGCAGGAGTTGCCGATAAGGGATGGATACCGCTCAATATTATAGAAAGAATGACAGTGTCCATGTGTCCAATCTAAAAGTAAAAATTAGGTCACAATGACACGATGTAACAGATTCTATGAAGTCTTACTAGTTTCATTAAATCGAATAGAAGGAGTTGCGGATATGAAAGGGATACCCCAAAGCGTAACGGGCGGACAAACGGACACCCAACATTTTTTTAAGCGCGGGTATAAAAAAAAATTACAATACAAATTTAGGATTTTTACTACTTAAATAAACAGTAAGCACTCCACATGGAAAATTATTCATAATGGATATTGTTTCATCAAAATATGCAAAATACATACAATACAAACTGAAATTATAGATTAAAAAATTATAAAAATACAAATATAATTTAAATATAGAAAGCAAATTAAAAAAAAACATGAAATTATAAAATTCTACAACACAAATGAGTTTGAACAAATTATAATAACACAAATACAAATTTATCCCTTTATAAATACATATATAAATATATATATATATAACATTGATTGATTGTATGTTGTTTAACGTCCCTCTCGAGCATTTTTCACTCATATGGAGAAGGGCTTCAAATTTAGACCTACACTCGGCACTAAGGGTCATTGAGCAGTGAGGGTTCTTTAACATGCCAACGCCTACCGGGACAGGGGACCTACGTTTTAAAGGTAATATCCGAAAGAGCCGTGCCTATCACTTCTAATGCCGAGCGTTTAGCGAAGGATTAGTCACTACCCATGTTTACGTCTTAAGTTTGACGCGGCGCCGCGAACGAGAATCGAACCAGGGCCTCCCGATCAATAAATAACATTGATAGAATTTGTGAAAAAAAAATTAAACAAATTTATATACATGTAGCATATTTTAAGTAATATTATCCTATAGCATACGTTGTCAAGTTGTTAAAAAATATATATATATAAAACATTAAAATGGATTCGGCACACTTCGTCGCCTTTATCAAACGTGGTTCTTAAATTAAAAGATTTCGATCTGAGATTTTTATCGAAGGGTAAGAAAGCCATTCATTTATTAGTCGTTTTGTTAGTCTCCCCTGCTTATGTCTATTGATTTATACATGACATGCTTGAGAAGAACTTAAAAGATGTGATTTTTTGTAATAAACCCTCATTAAAGAAAATAGATTAATTGCTACATGTACGTATCTGCTCTAAAATGACATACATGTCCAAGACCTAATCTGATGTCGGTATCGACAGTGTGGTGTCGATATCGTCGTCGATATCGTCAAAAACTTTAATTGATTCATATGCGATGTCGATATCGACGATATCGAAAATTGAATGTCGATATCGACGAAAACTATAATTGACTCTAATGTGATGTCGATATCGACAAAAACTATGATTGACTCTAATGTGATGTCGATATCGACGATATATCGACCTTAATCAAAACATAAGCCTTTTATGTAAGCCGACGCTGTCATTATTTATGACTTCGATAGCGACATCGATGACAAAGAATTGATGAATAATAGAATCGTTATTAAATATTCCAAAAACTGTATGAAATTATCTTAAAATTTATTTGTTTATTAAAAATATTAAACATATATTGATCTATAAATATATAATCTGTTCCTCAAATAATAAGCATCTACAATTAACATATCTTCTAATCATTTGTTTACATGATTTCCTACTTATCTTCTAGTGGCTTTGAAGTTTAATTCTCTTTGTACTCTTTATAATTTTGTCTTCATTGTACATGTTGCACATAATCAAATGAAACAAATTGTAGCTTGCATACGTCATATGTTTCGTTGCATGTTTAAATTGGGAAACAAACTTAAATGTCTGTTCACATGCTTCTGTGTTTAAGTCACAAAATTCTTTAACTTTGTGTGGATTTACATTTTGTTTGCACCATTTGTCAACGTGGTTTTTAAAGTGCATTTTATCCACCACCATTGTAAGATTTGCAATGAACTTTCCTGCCGCTGTTTTTTGTCGACTGTTGACATAGCGCTTTAAATGGCAGGCGTCATCATAGGCAAATAATCGTGGAAAATGCTGCACAGCATGCCAAAGCCAAGTGAGGAATACATATACTTGCGAAAGTGATTCGCAACCAAATAGCTCGGTTATACCCACAACTACCCCACAGCTGTACACCGCACAGCATATTCCGGCGGACCGGTGTTTGTTAGCTGCCTGTTTCCTTTTCTCTGTTTTACACTGCAGTGAATGTTGATTCTCATCTGTATCAGGTTGCGTTTCAATCTAAATGTCAAGAAAAAAATTATTTCCCAACTAGATTCTTTCGTATTCTTGTTCACCGATATTGACATATACATGTATATATTTCTTTTAAAGTTCAATCGTATCGTAGTTTGAAAACATTTATTTTGAGAGAAAGATTTGTGGTGGGATGGGTAAAAATGGATTGACAAGATAAAACAGAGAGATTAAAGGAGAAAGAAAATGGAATAATTCATCTATTTCCTGATTAATATTCTTAAAATACAGTATTATTTCACAATGATAAAAATCAGTGATATTTAAACTTTACCTTATTAACCTTCATAAGAGAATGCTGATGATTTACACAGAAGTAGGAACCTTTGACAGGCGTCTGATTACAACCAACAGTAATGCTTCCAATTTCCTCACAACAAATGTCGCCTTCCATAAAGTCGCAAACTAGTCTGGTGCCTTTCATATGACCATCTATGATAAGTGCTTGACTACAATCTGAAAGAAAAATCATGTATCTTAAATCTATTTAAAATTTATACAATGTTTTTGCTCACGAAACGTCTAAAGGCGAACCATTTGTATTCGAAACCTCACCTTACACAATGTTAATTAAAATAAAAATACAATATTTTGGATATAATAGGGTATATTTAAAAATGTTTTTCACATTTCAATTAATTTACATTCACTTAAATCATAGAATATAAAATTTTTAGGTACTAACTCCATGATAGATGAGCACATTTAGGGTATATATTGCTTGCTGTTTCAATGAAATGAGTACATTTATTCAATAATTAAAGATATTCAAATATATATAAGGTGATAAGAATTAACCTAAATTGTATCGGTCAACGGAGGTAGACTTTACAGGGGCGTCGATCGGCAAAGGGGCGGCAGGGGCGGCGGTCCCCGCCCCAATAATTTTGCCAAAAAAAAAAAATAATAATGAGATTGTTTTTCTTTTTAAAATGATTTTTTTAAACGGCGAAATCTGCTCATTGGAGCGGCGAGTATAACGGCATTCTGCATGTTCTGTGGTCAATGGAGCGGCAAAGTGTGTACAAGCTATTGTTTACACAGACGTCAAAACGGGATATACATGCATGTCTATATACTGTCTAAAACAACTTGAGATGATTTTTTTTAAATATTATTACACTTATTCTACATTTCAATTTCAAAAATGGCCGGATTAAAAAGTATTAATCAACCTGTTAATTTTAAATTTCCTAAGCGTTCTTTCGGCAAGAAGAATCCAGAACTGCGTTCATTCAACCCCACTTGGTTTAAACAATACGCATGGTTACATTATGACGAAGTAAGTACATTAAAAGATGTATATTTTTTATCTTTTCAATGATATTTTGAAAGGATACAAATTTTAATATATTGATTGTGTTGAAATCATTGGTTAATGTACAATGATTACACTTTAAAAGAGAAAAAACGATTTTTTTTTTTTAAAAATAATACTGTATATTGAAATTAAAACCTATCAAGTGTATCGCCATCTAGAGGACGTTCTTCTGAAGTCTGTACGTGGCGACAAGACATACAAAGAACATTTGGACTTTGTCTTAAAGTTCTATGGAGATGATCTGGACAAGACCTCTCTTTCTTCACAGCTGGATACATTTACAACGCTCGCACGAAACAACTTAAATGATTCCTCAACTGTGTCCGTTTCCTTTTTGGTGACCTTAGTGTCTCAGATGTCTCCAGCTTCCAGATGCCTATTCTCCGAGATTGTGACTCTACTGAGACTTATTTTAGTGATGCCAGTCACTAACGCTACAAGTGAGCGAACATTTTCTGCTTTGCGTCGAGTAAAGACTTATCTTCGTGCCACTATGTCCCAGGAAAGGCTGAATCATTTGATGATCCTGCACACGCACAGGGAGGCTACAGATGCGTTGAACATTTTGGCAGTTGCTAACGACTTTGTGTCAGCACGGGATGGACGGAGCTTCATTTTTGGACGCTTTTAAAGTGCATTGACATTGTGTATTATTTAATGAACAGATTTCATTTATGTAGTGTTTATTAGTGCTTATTAATTGATTATTTTAAAGATAAGTATATATGCATCTCAAAATAATATTTATTCAACTACGTGCTTCTCATATGTGCTTATGACATGACGTAAATAAAATCATATGAAACGATTTTGTTTTTTTAATCAGGTGGAGACTTTGAAACATTGACAGAATGGGAAAATATATCAATATACTGGTAGAAATTTGAATTTAAGTAAAAACACGTGAGTTAACCCCCCCCCTTTTCAATCTAGTTCGCCTCCCCAATGTCAAATACTTGCCGACGCCCCTGCTTTAACAGCCCCCAAATCAACAAGATACTCGCGTTCATCGGACTACAAAACAGCATTTAGGTCATTAAACTGATGAGGGCTAGTCTTTGCACAAGTATTCTACTGATTAAGGTTAGTCGTGCACACATTAATAAATTAGGGTTAGTCCTTATACAGTTATTCGACTGATTAGGGTTAGTCTTGCACCCACCTATGAGATCAGGGTTATTCTTCGCACAGTTATTTGACCGATTAGGGTTAGTCTTGCACCCAACTATGAGATTAGGGTTAGTCCTCGCACAGTTATTTAACTGATTAGGGTTAGTCTTGCACCCACTTATGAGATAAGGGTTAGTCCTCTTACATTATTCGACTGTTTAGGATTAGAAAATTATATGCGCGGGGACTACAGATACACGTCATAGTCCTGCTAACTATATGAATGATTAGGGTTCATGACCTCTTATTTTAGAAAAAAATAAAAAAAACATTTGCTTCTACAGTTTTCGAAAGATCATTATCCTTTAAATATTTTTTATTTCATAAACATACTCAATTTGCCCTCGGCGACAATAAATTTTAGCGAGTTTTCTTGGGGACCGATGAAGTTGTTCCACAAAAACCATCTTCAAAAAAATTACGTAATATATACCGAGCTTAAATATTTACTAAATTTACACACCTTTTGACTTGCAGTTGTCACAATGATGACTACCAGACCATTTCTCTGTAAAGTGTTCATGTATCCTTGGCAGAAGCCTTTGTATTTCAGCATCGACTTCAGAACACACCAACGTATCGATGTTTCTCTCCCCTAAACCGATTTTCATTTCTATCAAATGCCATTTAAACCACGCCTCAGACAATCGCCTTCTGTCCATTACTCTAACCTTGCTATATACTGACCAGTCTTCCCCAAAATTTACATCATTGTATGCGTTTGAAATTCCTTCAAATGCTGATCCATTTCTATACCTGTAATAAGATTAATTCATTTTTTAATAAAATATGACGAAATGAAATAGTACATTTAAAAAAATTTAATACACCACTTTACGAAAATTCTACAAACATTTAGTAAGGCCACACTAATCTAATTTTTTGCTCGGTGGACCTCGCGCGCTCTCATTAAAAAAAACTTAAGAAATTTAAATTCCCGGCACCAAGAGAATGCTGTGATCCTTCCTGTTTTATTTCCGTTTAAAATTTTCATACTAGTATTTTACGTCTGTTGAATTTAAAAACCAGAAACAATGTAATTGTATGTTCATTTTTTTCATGTTCTGTAAAATAATGGCTTTAAATAAAGTAATAATATTTTTTATCACTTGCAGGCTTCTCTTAGTCCGACGAACAACAAAAAAAAATTGGTGGGGACTAAATATAGGAAAACATTGTATTTACATGAAGTACAGCTTAAAATACATGTATAATGTATTTCAATAAGACTTACATATCTCGATCGACAGCATAAATCAATTGGGTTTCGAACACAGTGTCCCTGGTGCTCATAAAGTACTGCTGTCCCAAAATATCATTAAAGTAAGTTTCTGAATCTCCGTGCTTGAGGGAATTTAATGAGTAAACAGTTTTACATTTTTTACATGTCCCAGTATGAAGCTGTCCAGGAATTCCCCCGCCATTCCTTTCAAAAACTGTACACTTCGACGAAGACCGGAAATGCAAAACTGCCCCGCAACAGACATCTACCGGGGGGAAAAGGTTTCTCAAACCCACATCATTGGCTCCACTCTCCTTTATAAAATCCAGAACTTCCCTCTCCACATAATCTTTACAAATTATCATTGGTGCATCCCCATATCTAGGCAGTATCTCCTCCATTTTTTCAGTAGCCACAGTTACTTCTTCTTTTGAATATTCATTTTCTCCTGTCGTTCTTTTTAGCACATCAGTTATGATTTTTTCCCGATTTTTTAAACCCTTCGGAAAAATTCTCATTAAATTGACGCAAGTCAGAATGTCCTGCAGCCTTCTAAATGGTCTCAGTATAGCATTGAAATTCATTGCAATTTTTTTTTTAATTCGGCAACGGTTTTCCATATTTCACGTTATATTTTACGCTATGATTATGACGTCATACATACATATACAGATCAACATCATGAGGCAGTATTATCTTAAAATTCTACAAATTATTAATTCCAGAAAATAAATAATAAAATAAATCGTTTTATCATATAAATAGTTTTACCCATGACATACTATTTATGCTTTTCATTTTTTTTTATTTTGGCATAATTCTCATAAATTTCATTGTAAAATAAATAAATTAGAACTAATGAAATAAATGAACATTTAAATAGATCAATTAATTAAAATAATATAATTACATGTAAATATTCTGAATGTAATTCAATAATTAGTTGTATATTTTATTCATTTCCGTTAAACACATTTATTTCATAATCACCCCCTTCTGTATCACTCTTACTTTAGATTTCAATAATACAATTCCCGCAATTAAAATACTGCCAAATAACGTCGGATTAATGACGTTACCTGTTGTTACCTAGTGACGTTAATTGCCATTCTCTGTAACCACTTAAACTTCATTGCCACGCATGGTCACCGATTTTAATGAAACTTCACCCATGCTTAGTACTTGACACCAGAAACAAATATCAAACAAAATTTTGTTGCTAGGTGTCTCGGTTGCTATGGCAACAGCCGGAAAAGTTTGAAAAATCTAGATTTTCAGCCACTTTAAATCTTGACTGTGGCTTAATAAAAACTAGAAAAAGCAAACAAACCATTCTCACAAAAACATGACACCTTGATGTCACTTATAATTGTAAAGAAACTGTTTAGAATATATCTCTAAGTAAGTGGTAACCAAGGGTACATTTGGAATACATTTAAAATGCTGAAATATGCTGAAAAACACTCCGTATTCACTAATGGTAGGTGTTACATGCTCAAACTCAATCAACGACTTAAGAAAAACCATGAAAATGTTTGACCTTAAGTATATAAGTATAAGCAATATTATTCTATAAATAACTTTTATGGTTGCCATGGTAACACAGTGTAACCATGCAAAACCAGTAACTAAGATTGGGTTAATGCTACTGTCTTGAGGAAAAACATGAAAATTCAAGACTGGCAAATATGCATCCTTAGGACCTTGCAACACCAAAACCATAAGAAAAATTGAGTATAATTGCTACTTTGTAGTGTTACCATGGAAACAAAGTACCAGTGCTTAAAAATGAATTATTTTTCGCTGCATTAAAAATTAAATTGCAATTTAATCAAGAAACAAATTAAAGGACTCAGCTTGAATAGTACTTATCTGTTAGAACTGAAGTTGAATATCATATCTTGATAAAATTTGATGAATAAAACAACACTGTTGCTATGGTTACCAAGAAGGGAAAATGTTCGATTTTGTGAACTTTATATCAATATTAAACCCTGTGTGCCAGCTTCTTGCATCCAGTTAGAGATTGGATGATAGTCAAAATTAAAAGTCAAGTTAGCTGTTAATAAATATCAATCATAAAAGTTTTGGGAATCTGCATTTACAGGTACGTATCCAAGGAAACAAAATATTTTTCAGAATTTTAAGCATATTTTTTCTGCTTATTTCCATAGCAACGCTCTATTTAAAGAATCTAATCTGAATTTTTTCAAATGGGAAAACTTGGAGCACACCAACATCTTATAAAATTGATCATTAGTTATGAGGAAATGTCCTTTTTTTAAAAGATAGGACCAGATTTAAACATACATAGTGTTATCTGAAGGCTCTCTGTGGTATAAAAACCTTGGCAACCATTGCCAACCAAAATGAAATATCATATTTTGTTCTTGGTATATGTTTCAAGGCTCTTTTTTCTATTATATGGTCACATTTCATCCTATAATTGCTTTTTATTTTTATGTGTATGACTTTATAAAATTCAATGAATATTTTTGTCACTTTTGAATACTTTGTTACCATAGTAACGTCTGTAATAGTTGATTTACCAAACATGTTTATCATGCATTTGAGACATCTGACCTTCAACTTTTGGAAACAGTCATTGCCAATTGTTTGCTTTGCCACAAATGTTAATTATGGGGCTCTAAACATGTTAAAAAATGCCATTTTTCGAACTTTAAGACATGTTGCTATGGTAACTATAAAACATAGCAACCAATTTTTGCTTGATTTCAGTTTAGGATATCAATGACTTCTATCATAGAGAGTTTGGAGAAATTCTGAGACTATGCGTGCCACAGCTCCTATATAAAATTTCAAATCATTACAGAGAATGGCTCTTAATTAGTAACAAAACAAAACAAACGTCTATTTGACGTTAGGTGTATACCGTTTTAGCATCTATAATTTTAAAAGCATCCGTGATTCATATACGTCATCCGACTATATAATGTTTTCATTCCAATCAAGATCTAAACAATGCTACGAAGAAAGGATATCCGTTCGAGATGTTTTCGATCAAAAAACTGGAGATATGTTGGAAAATATTTCTTCCGCTAACAGCATACCGCCCGAGTTTCTGCTTCCACCATTCTTAGCTGCCTGTGGACACTTCCTTGGAAAATCTGTAGTTTGTCCTTGGGGAACCTGGAAGCAGCCGGCAATAATTTATTCCACTACAGTAGGATTTACCGGCACCAACAAATCTGCTGCCATAGAAATCATTAAGGGAGCCATTCAAGAAGTGGAATCTGCACAGGGGATACCCTTTCAGAACTCTCGAATTAACCAATGTAAGATTTTTGCCTAACTTTAGGACAACAACCAGCTTGTTTTAAGACATATTTTAGGTGATTTTAATTGAAACAACTAAGAATTATCTGTTTGCGAATATGAATCAAATATTTGTTGTAAATTATTTATTTCCCTTAAGGATTCACACTAAATGAATTATACATAAATACACATTACATCGTAACAATGTATAAACGGCCTGTACAAATGTAAATGGGGAAAGTAGCTAATAAAAATGATCTCATTAATTAACATTTATGCCAGACCAATAAAATGCATTTTTGTTTGGGGGGGGGGGGGGGGGGGGGGGGGGGGGGGGGGGGGGAAGGGCATACACTTTCAGTTGCAGGGCACTATCAACTATGAAAAATTGACAAGCTATACAAAGGGGGATCATCGAATGTTTTATTGATGGGGTACAAACACATATAGCTGTTTCCTAATACATTGGCATAATTAAATTGACTTTATTTTTTAAAAATTACATATACAACATATCAATCGTGTATTCACTTACTTTTTTCTAAAAGGGAAAAGGGGCACGCCCATTAAAGAAAAAAAAATTACCCAGAAATGTTTTTGATAAGGAAGGAATATAAAAATTGTAATAATCTCCAAATCTTATTATTTTTATAATAGCATTATATGAAAAAATTATTAAATAAACTTTACATTTTGTGTTGTAGCTGCAACAGTGGAATCACATTTGAAACAACTCACACAAGAAAACAGGCAAATTATGATGTGGGACGAGTTAAAAACTTGGCAAACAAGTCTTGGATTGTATAAATCCGGCAGTGCGTCTGACTACGACACAACCATTTATCTTACTGCGTACAATGGTGGTTCCCTAAAACGGCAGACATGCAACAGTATGTAGAGTATTGCAATATATCTTATATAATAATAATTTTAATGATTATGAAATATAATAATAATGATATAAGAAATATATATCTGTTACATCGAGCTCATACATTTTGCTTTGAAATTGAAATACTTCAAAACTGCTTCAATTTGAAATTCATTTATAAATTAGGCAACACGGCAATTCCTTGTCCTGTCTTAAATTTGACCGGAATGTCGCACCCAGGAGAAATCTGCAAACGACTGGACGAGGAGAGAAAAACTTCCGACAACAACGATGGACTGTATAGCAGATTTCTTATGTGCATGCCGGAACCAGTTTTCTCATTTGCAGACGAAGTACAGGAGATTAGACAGGACCTACCCAGCTTGGCAAAGTACTATTATAAATTATATCTTTTACGTGTAGTAATACAACCCGTAATCCATTATTACTTGATATTCACTTAGACCACACTACTTCCTTTTTAGTATAACTGATGCATAAAATTACCCATGGAAATCATATATCAATGTGCCTATTTGTCCATTTTATCCACAAAGGGTTTATGCTTTTTTTCTCATTTCTCATTTTATTTCAGGTTGTTCTATGCAGTTGAGAAAATGAATGTCGGAACGTGTTTGTACAGCTACGGAACACCAGCTCTAGCTATTGCTAAACAGTATTACAACTAGAGGTATTGTGAGCGATGAGCTCACTAAATGATACCCCCCGCCTCCATATAGTTATAATGGCAAAGTCCATGTTTTGCTGTGGCCGGAAAACCCAAAATATGTGTCGGATCAAAAAGTTAAATAGGAGGTGCACAATGGCAATATGTAATAAAGATTCTGTGAAAGTTTCATCAAATTTCATTCAGTGGTATGAGAGGAGTTGCAGATAAGAGATGGGTACCCAAAAGCGTAACAGACGGACGGACGGACAGACGGAAGGACGGACAGACGTACAGACGGACGGAATTACCGATTACTATATACCCTCCCGCTTTTCAAGCGGGGGGTATAATGATCAACAAACCTTCCTCAAAACAAACCATCAAAATGATACATTCTTGTCAGGTAATTTTCTTTAAAGTCGTAATTAAAAACATGATAGTTATATACATACAGTACGTACAATACATTGTAATTGGGAAGATCGGGAATTATAAAACACACTGTTTAAAATTTACAGGACTGATTGGCAAAGCCAAAGGCCAAGTCCACAGATTGGCAATGATAATTGAGGCAATATCCAAAGCGCAAGTTGTTCTTCATGAAATTGATGAGGCAAACTCGGACAGGATCAACGAGGACTTCATAAGAAAACTGGATGAGTATCTGCGACAGAAGACCCTGGACAAGATTATCTCTGAGTCATCCACCAAACAGAGCATTGTTTTAAATGACTATTTCCTGCACCAGAAGAAAATTCTTGCTGGATATAGTAAAGAAAACGACAGCAAACCTGACTTGCTGAACGCAGCCCTGGTGAAGAAAATCCTTCTCTGGCCCGGTAAAGCTGTTAGATGCCAAGACGTTGCACGATGCTCTAGGTCTAGCGCCGATACCATTAAACAACACATGAAGGAGCTAGCAGACACGGGTTTTGGCGGTGTAAACAACGAACGGCCAGTTGGAGGTGGGAGAGTCACAGTTGTCTTCCACAAAACAAACGTCACAGATTTTGATTTGGAAAAAGCAATGGAGTTCGGAGAGAAATTGCTAAGATTCAGTATTAAATTCGAAGAATACCAATCGCAATTTGAGAACACTGAAAATTATTTGTGTCAATCCAAAAAACAAAAAATCATGTAACAAATTTCAGTAAAATTAAAACATTCGAATTGAAAAGTGTCTTCTATCTTTAATTTGAAATAAAACTTTTAACTTTTAAGAAATGCAACAAATTACTTAATCATGAATTTTTTAGATATAATTTATCTCTCAAAATAAAATGGAGAACTACTTTTCTACAGGACAAACTGATTTATTATAATAATTAATAATAATTAAAAATAAGCTAATTACCATATGTATATATATATGTAAAAAAAAAAATAAGTTTATAATGAGAGTTGTTAACTAAAACGGTCTATCTTCAATAACCTCTCAATTATCATTTTGGTCTTTGGCATTTATGGCTTCATTTCAGAACAAATGTTTCCAATGTAGTGTCTAGATTGAATCTATATAGTTGATATCAAAACACAGGAATAAGCTTATTGTTCTGATTAAAAATAGATTATTTTGGTTATGTCGATATCGACTCGATATCGACACATAAGTAATGCCACTTTAAAGTTCCTAACCAAATCAAAAAGTAAAGGGTTTGGATCGATATCTAGTCGATATCGTCGATATCGACGATATCGACAGATATGTAAGGCCACTTGATGTCACAATAAACTTGCTATCTATTACAATACTTCGAGGGTTGTGTCGATATCGAATCGATATCGTCGATATCGACATATATTTTAAGCCACTAAAGGTCTCATTCTAAAAAAGCATATAATGCATAAGTCGATGTCGAATCGATATCGTCGATATCGACAGATATATAAGGTCACTTGATGTCACAATACAGTTTCCAATCTAACAGAAATGTAACACTAAAAGTTTCTTTCGATATCGACTCGATATCGTCGATATCGACGATATCGACAGAGATTTAAAGTCACTTAATGTTTTACAAATAATATAACAAGAAATGATATATATCATATAACAAAAAGTAATTACAAGGTTGTGTCGATATCGAATCGATATCGAATTGAAAGGTACACATAGGTAAGCCAAGTCTTAAATTATGACAAATTTCTGTCGATATCGATTCTACATCGTGTCTTGGACATAACTCTAAAATGATCCCGTCGTTTACTAAGGATTTTTTCAATGTTGTTTTGTTTTCTTCTGAGCATTTACTATTTGCAATGTAAAATGCATCTTTTAACAATTCTGGAAATTTCCCATGAGAGTCTAAATACTAAAGATTTGCATTCCATCTTTTAAAAGTATACTGCTGAAAGAGTTAATGCTATGGTATACGGTCCATTGTTCGAAATGATTTGGTATTCAAGAAGAATATTCGAGCTAAAAATGTCAATATATTATTTTTTAGCTCTACTGGTCAGAGACCAGAAGAGCTTATGCGATAGTAATGCGTCCGTCGTCCGTCCGTCTGTCTGTCTGTCTGTCTGTCTGTAAACAATTTTTCAAAATGCTACTCCTCCTACAGTTTTAGTCTGATTTCAATATAACTTGGCACACAAGTAGACTACACTAAGATACATAATTCTGTGTATCGGTTTTTGATTTCGATGAACGGTGTTGCCGATGTTACTAAAAATAGAAATTTCTGTGAAATTCTTTCAAAATGCTACTCCTTCTACAGTTTTAGTCTGATTTCAATATAACTTGGCACACAAGTAGACTACACTAAGATACACAATTCTATGAATTGGTTTTTGATTTCGATGAACGGTGTTGCCGTGGTTACTAAAAATAGAAATTTCTGTGAAATTCTTTCAAAATGCTACTCCTTCTACAGTTTTAGTCTGATTTCAATATAACTTGGCACACAAGTAGACTACAATAAGATACATAACTCTATGTATCGGTTTTTGATTTCGATGAACGGTGTTGCCTTTGTTACTAAAAATAGAAATTTCTGTGAAATTCTTTCAAAAATGCTACTCCTCCTACAGTTTTAGTCTGATTTCAATATAACTTGGCACACAAGCAGACTACACTAAGATACACAATTCTGTGTATCGGTTTTTGATTTCGATGAACGGTGTTGCCGTGGTTACTAAAATTAGAAATTTCTGTGAAATTCTTTCAAAATGCTACTCCTTCTACAGTTTTAGTCTGATTTCAATATAACTTGGCACACAAGTAGACTACAATAAGATACATAATTCTGTGTATCAGTTTTTGATTTCGATGAACGGTGTTGCCGTGGTTACTAAAAATAGAAATTTCTGTGAAATTCTTTCAAAATGCTATTCCTTCTACAGTTTTAGTCTAATTTCAATATAACTTGGCACACAAGTAGACTACAATAAGATACATAATTCTGTGTATCGGTTTTGATTTCGATGAACGGTGTTGCCTTGGTTACTAAAAATAGAAATTTCTGTGAAATTCTTTCAAAATGCTACTCCAAATACAATTTTAGTGTGATTATAATATAAATGTGGCATGCAAGTAGACTGCACTAAGAACATAAAGAGACTTAATCAAGGATCATTATTCTATTTATTGCTGTTGAAAAGTTTCAATTTCCAACTGCTTAAGTACTTTTCTCTTCCTTTGCTATAAGTACAAACCAGTAGAGCTTCAGTCTCGACAGAGACTTCTGGTTCACGTTATAAGCTCACTTCAGCGGAAAATTTAATTTGAAATGAGTTTTTTGCGTACCTTTTGTTCGGCGTCCATCTGCTTGTGAGCTTGTCACATTTTAAACCTCTCAAAAACCACTGGACCAGTATTAATAATCCTCGCCACTAGGGTAAAAGTTATTAAATTTTGTTCATGCATGTATAAAGGGATATGCCGTCTTTCAAGGGGCGATTGTTAAGAATAAATGCAAATTTGGTAGCCTCATAAAACATTTTTTCAAGAACCGATGGGCCGAATCAAAAGTTTTAACTTATGCAAAACATTATTACATATACAACAAACATTTGTTTCGATAATAAATGTATATATAATAATAACACAAGGTATCCAACTCAGGATTATATGGAATGCCCCCACCCCTCCCTAGAATTGCACCTATTTACGCTTCGAGAGGAAACACACTTGTAAAATATTTATTACCATTGTCTTTTACGATTATTCATCTACAGAACCATGTATGACATGCTTGTCTTTATTTATCTCCATAAACATCGTCAAAACTCTGCTGTCAACTTACACTGCTTGCATCCTCAATTATATACGTTATTCGTTAATGATTTGTTTAGATAATGAATTATCCGTGCTTGTTCTGAAATAAGTAAATCTTTGAAAATGCTGACGCAAGTATGCATAACAAACTCGTTACTTTTTGAAAGTTCTTAATATGCTTAAAAATGAACACTACTCGTAAAAAGCATTGTCCGTCATGTTTCTCTTGCAATGTCACTATCCCTTCTACCGCTAAATAATAACATGCCTCTTAACAGTTTACACGCCTTTTGAAGTCAGAAGGTTTAGTAGAGGGTTAACATGATACACTTTTTGTGTAAAATTTTAACAATGTAAAACTTGATGTAAACATGTATACGATATGTATGTGACCTATTGTTTGCATTTAATTCCTCACTATGTCAGTCAAAATCATCGATGGCCGAGGAGAAAGATTCTCGCTATGCATGCGAGAAGTTCGAATTCCGATTGAGCCTTTTTTTTTTAATCAATTACTAAATGAAAGTATTTAGCATCTGAAATGAAGCTTTGAAAAATGACGTGTACAAACTATTATTGTTGTGTGATAAATATTTTATATCAAAAGAAAGCAGTCAAATCCTTATATCTATTGGCATTTTGTGTTTGCTTCAGTACATAATTTAATAATTCTGAAAATTCGGGGAAGGGGACCCCCCCCCCCCCCATCCCAGCATCCTCCCCTTTTCCCTTCAGCGGGGTCGCAAATTCTCTGAATTAGCTTGTATATTGGTTTTGACAACCTTTGAAAGTTACCCCGTTTGGTGTTAAACGTTTCTCTCCAGATTTGTTCACTCATATGGAGATGCCAAGAGGGTGGAAAGCTGCAAATGTTGTCCTAAACTAGGCACTCGGGGCCATATTTTACAGTGAACACTTACTGCGACACGGGACAACGGTTTATACTGTCTCCTCCGAAGGATCAGTCTCCATGCCCCAGTGTGGGATTCGAACCCGCGACGTAAGGCTCAACTCCTTACATCGCGACTCTAGAGCAGACGTTTTAACTACTGCGCCACCCAGGCGACACTCGTTGAAAGCAAAAACAGTGTTCGGTGTGCCACAAAGTAACTCGGATTTCAGAACAGTTGGAATAGATTAAAGTAAGATCACAAGACTGATAAATCAGCAAGATGGTAATACCCTTGACATTCAGGGTTAGTGTGCAAGGTACAAGCCATCCGAGGTAGTTCTAACAAGTTTAGCCTGGTTCCCTGATCTTGAAATACTTAAGTATACTCCGCGACACTAAGCTTTGGCATCACTGGAATCACCTGTCTTCAACGATTCTGTCGTAAACGTGGAATTCAACATGATCTACAAAAGAAACCTGTCACACTCAGTCGCATTGATGAGATAAGATAATAGAAAGGTTTGTGTTGAAACAAGATCAGCAAGAGAGCTTTTCATAAGAAATTAAGAACCTGATTGCTGGAAATCAGTTGACTAAGGATAGTAACATAACAGCACTTTCACCCTTTTTGGATGAGAAATGACTACTTCGAGTTAGAGGTAGAATTAATAAAGCTACTGGATAAAGACCTGAAAAGGAGAACGACCCATTTTTCTTCCTTAACACAATCATATTTTTGTTTTCTGGGGTGTTGAGTCAAACAAACACTTACTGTTGGTGTTTACTTGTCTTACTTCTAGAGCAGCACACATCGAAATTCTTGTGCATATGACAAGTTTGACATCCATAATTACTTTTAGAAGAGTCCTTGCAGTCCGCGGACCAGTGAAGATCATACGATCAGATAGTGCCTCTAATTTCATTGGAGCGGCTGAAAACATGAAGGTGAACATTGTGAAGGTGGAATTTAGAAGGTACATGGATTTTCAATGTTCCTCATTCTTCCCATATGGGAGGTATCTGCATGGGT